GACCCTTTGAAAGCAATTTAATTAATCTCTCAATATGAAGGACGCGTGCATCCGACTTTGTTGAGTCAAATTAGATTAATTGATTAATTAAACAGTTGCCAGGTAACATAATTGTGTTAAGTAGTCTTACTATATAATAATAACGTTTGCTGAGTCAATGCCGGTAAATTGGAGAGGTGAAGTTGTCAAAAGAAGAAAGAAGTGGTATAACACTGCTGGTTAGAGCCACACAGCGCTTAAAAGATCAAATCTCATATAAAAGAAATTATACTTCACTTGGGTGAGAGAACTAATTGGTCATTAGCAAATGAAGACATTCCAAATCACATAAATCAGCCTATTTATGTCTCTGAACCTATGAAAGCCTTCATTCTACCCGTTTCAGGAATATTGGCTGAATTCTATTCGTGGTGTTTGCTCCTAAAAAGAGAAATTGTTGGCTTTTGTATAATCGCATTATCTTTCAAGTTGGCCTTACAAGGGAATTGTAATCTTTAAAAGAGAATTGGAAAGATTTCCTGACTTTACTATATTTCAAGTTTGGTTATAGTGGGTTCAAAATTTGCTGGCCCCTCCAAAAAATACACAATGTATATTTTGGCATAACGTTTAAAATTAAATAGAAACTATTGTCAACAAAATAACGTTAGCTTAATGAAGCAGTTTTGGTGTATAGATCCTGCCCCTGCAATCACACTGCTTAGTTCTCTGCCATTTAGGAGCTAGAGTAACACCTATCTGCACAGCCTTCCTAAACACTTCCTGTAAAGTAAGATCTAATGTTTACACTTCCTTTATTGTACACTCTGTTTAATTCAGAATGTGTTATCTCCTGCTCTGTTGATAGCATTCTAAACACTTCAGGGGCAGCATACATACATTTTTCTAAACCAAGGTAATATCTGGTTAAAAATGAAACCATTTTGTAATCATGAAGGCTGTGCTAGTCACAACCAGGGGAGCTGTGGCTAGGGTTGCATAAGCAGAAACAAAAGGAATTTACCCCTAAATGGCAGAGAATTGAGAAGTGATACTGCAGGGGCACACCAAAACTGCTTCATGAAGCCAAAGTTGTTTTGATCTCTATAACGTCCTTTTAAATTTGAATTCCCTGTAATTCACACTTTAATCACTTTGGGAAAGGATTCTGCAGATTGATAAATTGACAAATTAATAACAGTTTAAAACGTTTTCCTCCAAGAGGACAAGGCATAATATCTCATAATCCAAGAATTTAATGAGTTAATAAGGTCAGCTGACTAGTAAATGTCATAATAAGGATGAAGAGGTAAAATAATTGGCTCTGGTTTTACAATTAGCTGTCAGACAAATGTTAAATATAATTGTGACATTTGTGACACAATATTCTATTCAACATAGGACGAGATGTTGAACCACATGGCACTGAGGATGCTGACCTGTAAATCTGTTAACTGATGTCACCTGATGGTACGGCCATTTTGTTACAGAACATTGTTCATTGATTGAGTATAATTCTATGCCGGCCATCATCAAAATGAGACAAACGCTCCCAAATTTTAAGTGAGATTCCCTGCTGAACTATTCTCTTAGCATCTCCATAGTCTGTGTTAGTGACATCTTTCCTCTAAGCAATTATTCCATCCCCGCTACAATACTCAAAGGAAAAAGACTTGAATGCCATATTGAATCTGATTAACTCACAGCGTCTCTTTTCATATAATATTCCTCAATTTCTCTCACGGGTCTCTGCACATTAGGGTGCTCGTCCACTGACTCCTCTCAAATAGCTTCCTGGTCTTCAATCTTCTTTCTTTAAGTGTTTGCTTCAAGCAAGCTATGTTGTCTGATCAATCCTTACCAAGCCATACCTTCAGCAGATCCCTTCACCCATGGCCGCACCATCACTGGATCCCTCTGCCAACAGTTTAATTTTCTTTCCAAAGGACCTTCCACTCCAAGACACATCCCCTTTTTGGCTTGCCTGCACTCTACTTATCATATCGTCCCCCTCCTGCCCCCATTCCCCTATAGGTTGACTTATCCCTCTCCCTATTACTGCCCCCTGCTCAGTCCCAGCATGATTTCCCATGATTACTTCTGTCCCATTCCTTGATAGCCTCTACCTCTAACTTAAAGGGGGGCCACACGACTGCTGCACCCCTCATATCTGAAGTTACCCCTCATTTCATGATATTATTGAGAAATATATGAATCTTATTTGTGTCCCCAAAAGTAATTGGCAGGACCTAAATGTGGCCTACCTCTCCTCCAACCTCATTTTAGACACCTCTTGTAAGTTATATTGCCAATGGATTCCCTGCACCCCATTACCCATAGGATGGATTCCCTGCACCCCATTACCCATAGGATGGATTCCCTGCACCCCATTACCCATAGGATGGATTCCCTGCACTCCATTACCCATAGGATGGTTTACCTGTTCCCCATTACCCATAGGATGGTTTACCTGTTCCCCATTACCCATAGGATGGATTCCCTGCACCCCATTACCCATAGGATGGTTTACCTGTTCCCCATTACCCATAGGATGGTTTACCTGTTCCCCATTACCCATAGGATGGTTTACCTGTTCCCCATTACCCATAGGATGGATTCCCTGCACCCCATTACCCATAGGATAGATTCCCTGCACCCCATTACCCATAGGATGGATTCCCTGCACCCCATTACCCATATGATGGATTCCCTGCACCCCATTACCCATAGGATGGATTCCCTGCACCCCATTACCCATAGGATGGATTCCCTGCACCCCATTACCCATAGGATGGTTTACCTGTTCCCCATTACCCATAGAACAAGCTGTGACCCCCTTTATCCCTTGGTTTCCCAGTGAATGTGTATGTATTTCCAGCAGCTAGTGGATATTGTTATTATATATTTGGAATCTCTAGTTTATAAATACACATATGACACACTTATATGGCTAAACGTTTAGTTACAGATGAAGATCAGGCAATAATTCCCATTTTGTGTTTAGACCCATTACACCTCCAGGCTCAGGAAGTCTCTAATCCAGCACTGCCTACCCATTAATAATACTAGCGGGGCCGCTACACGGACATGGGCAATGTCTCACTAATGCCACGTCATCCACGACAGTCAGAGGAAAATAAATTATTAAAACCGAACTCGAGGGAGAAAACAAAATAATATTTCACCATAAACACTGCAGGGTTGTAGAACCAGCAAAACTGTCATTTTAAGCAAACTTTCAATTTTATTTATTTATTTTTGCAAAAACAGGAGCTTTAGTCTTTTTTTTTTTCTCCCAGTTAAGATATTGTCACTGGCGTACATACCGCGTGTGGCGGAACCAGCCTCGCCACTGTGCACTGGAGAAGCCTGGTTGCTCGCCTGCTCCCTTAAGATTATGGCCCTGCAGTTCAGAGCTGTTATTCTCCCTGCTGAAAGGTTTATTCGTGCCTTTCTGCCAGGGTATTCGGTAAATTCCATCTACCAAACAAACTACCGAACGATGGACCACCTGGGAGCTGGAGTGTGCCGTCAATTGACCGCCCAGAAGCTGTGGTTAACCGCAGCTTAATTGATGAACGCTGGGTGGCCTTTGTTCGTCTGCCGAACACGTGGCAGTGGCCATTTTACCTCCCGAACGGCCAGCGGTGTTCAGCGCCCAAACTATGGAACTGAAAACAAACACCGCTGAGCCGCCAGCCTCCTTACCTTCCCATTCGCCAGATGAACAGCATCCCCCAGATAGCTAAGCCATGGAGCCTATTCGTGTAACGAAAGACTATGGGAAAGACTTTGACTCCATGGCGATTGAACTGTATGTATGTGATCTGAGCGCCATTCGGTAGTAATCTGGGGATATGTAGAATGTATATGTTTTAGGTAATAAATGTGGCTGTATGTAATTTTATGTCTTTTACTGTATTGTTACTGCCATGTGGTTAATGGAGTTTTGCCTCTGTCCTGGGAGATAAGTGGATTACTTCCCAATTATCTCCAGGACAGAGAGGAGGGATTGTGATGTAATTGTGGGAGTGTTTAAAGCTCTGTGCTAGAGGTGCTTCCGCGATTCTCACTGTGAAAATCACAGTGAGAAGACGCTGGACGTCCATAGGAAAGCATTGAGTAATGCTTTCCTATGGGCGGTTTGAACGCACGCGTGGCTCTTGCCGCGCATGCGCATTCGGAACTGAGAGGTGGATCAGGGCGGAGAGATCCCCAGAGCCAAGGGAGCCCGGTGCTGGAGAAATGTAAGTGCTGAAGGGGTTTTAACCACATACACACACTCTCATGAACAGACACATACACACTAGCTAACAGACACACACTCAGTGACTGACATACATACACACTCACTGACAGACAGACACACATACACACTCACTTACAAAACATACACTCTCACTGACAAACACACACTCACTAACTGACACCAAACAGACTCACTAACAGGCACACACAAACTAACACACTCAGTAACAGACACACACAGTAACACACTCACTGACACACAAACTAACATACACACTGACACTCACTAGCAGACACACACTCAATAGCAGACACACACAAACTAACACACAACTAACACACACCGCTCATAGGAAAGCATTGAGAACTCCTGTGGTTATTCATAGGAAAACTGCCCATAGGAAAGCAAGTGGGAATTCCTGTGGTTGTCAGAAATGCAAAGTGAATTTCAAATTGTAGTCCAAATTAGCAAAATTGTAAAAAAAAAAAAATCAAGTCAGCTCTGTTTTCAGATTTGACTTTTTTTTGGCATCATATTTGAAATTAATTTTAAATTCTTGAGAATTCCACTTTATTGAATAACCCTGTCGAAGTTGGACCTCTCTTGCTTGGTCCAAAGTCTGACACCATCGTGATGGCCAGTCTTAAATGATTTTACGAGGGGTAGATGAGTAGGCCCAGTTTTTAGCAAGCATCAATTAAATACTACAATGCTGTGTTTCAGCCATTTGGTTTAAGAGAATAAATCCAAAGGACAACATTTAATATGATTCCTGGAAGGTCCACAAATGTAATTGAACCATAAATACATATAAATATATACGAAAAGACAGAACCAGTCTTTGTTAATGGTGTATCCGGCTGGTGATGTTGGAGCAGAAGCCTACAACACATAAAGGATAAAATGTGTTCATAGTCAAATTACTGAACAACTTAAGGGAGGAGAAACTACATGTTGTAAAACAAGACTGTACAACGGAAGGATCATGGGATATAGCCTGTTAGACACCTGAGAACGTTGTTGATAGGTGTAGCCGCTTTTTATATGACTTCTGAAGTCCTTCACCACATCCATCTAATGTGCCCATATCTTCTCAAAATCTCTATAGCAAAAAGAGAATTTAGTATATATTCAGAATATCTCAGGTGGCTTTTATTACTTGAGTAATCTACACTGTTCATCAGGTAATAAGGATGAACTCCAGCAATGAATTTCATGACCAACAGTCCATGTTTCATTAGTATCCTGAAAGGAACACAATTGGGTAGTATCAAGAACCATTGGTTATCCTCGAGAAGCACTGATTGAAAAGGTGTCCATTGACATTGCGCCAGTAAATCAAGTCAATGGTTTGTGTAACCGTCAGAAAATTTCCATTAATAATAGAAACTATACTAAGAATTTTTCCATGGTTTAACTTGACTTACTTTCCAGGTGTTTGGGCCACAGTTTATTGCTCTTTGTCATCTCCTTAAAAAGGTTAACTCCAGAAATGGTTAAGTGTATATCACCATGTCATGAATGTAGGTGAGTTAAACTGTGCATTGTATCTGGAATCTGTTTTAGAGTTTGGAAATTTAAGTTTATTTTTCCCCAAAACATTTTTTGGGATGATGTACAATATCAGAGAAAATGTGAAACATTTGGAGATTTTAATTATGTAGTTTTGGCAACAGCTCATGGAGTTACTAGAGGCCTGGAGGAATCTGAATTACTTGCACCAGCTTGGCATCCACTTCTTTTTCCATGTTCTTCATTTATCTGGGACACCTCAGTGGAAGCAACCTCAAATCCTGGCTCAGCGTTGGCTGCCTGTACGACATGGACCTTGTTTCGACCTTTCTTCCTCAGAAGACAGCTGAAAACCTTCTGGAACCCCTTACGGAAATGCTTTGACACCAATGCATAGACAATAGGATTGAGGCAAGAGTTGGCATAAGCCATGCAGTGAGAAAGTAAGCGAAATGCATAGGTTGTTTGATTGAAGGGAAAATCGCCATAAAGATAACACATGACCACTACATGGTGGGGAAGCCAGCAAAGACAGAAGAGGACGGTCACAATAATGATCATCTTGGTAACCTTCCTTTTGGCTTTTTTGGATTCTGACATATCCTCCAGTGGATTAACAGCTGTCCATAGATACTTAATGGTTCTGGTGTAAGACAAGCTCACAATAAGCACCGGGATAACATAACCAACAATAAAAGTGCCTGTATCCATAATCTTACGTGTCCTTTCCTTCCACCCTGGCATGCAAATATGGCTGGTCTCATAGTCCATTAAGTCATAGTAACTCAGATATGGCCCAGCAAACACTACAGAAAGGCCCCATATGACAGCCATGGTAGCTACTGCATTGTATGGAGTCCGAAGCTCACGAGACCGCAGGGGGTAACGGATTGCCAGATACCTGTGATTGAAAAAATAAAAGGTGGAAAAGATAAACTATTAGTCACTTGGCATATGATCATTATCACAACATTTTAATCGTAGAAAAATAATCAATAACAAAAGTTGCCAACAGTGACATTTTTAGAAGCACAGGAATGGGTCCATAATTTTTAATTAATATTTTCAAATTAATATTTTATTGTGAGGCACAGACGCACCTGTCTACAGACACTGCTGCAAGCGTGAAGCTGCTGGCATACATGGTAAGATAGATGAAAAAGTGGACAGCTTTGCACATGAAAGCTCCGAAGACCCAGTCCTCCAAAGAGTAGATGGTGGCTTGGAATGGAACACAGAAGATAATGAAGGAGACATCTGCAACACTGAGATTAAGGATGAAGAGATTGGTGGTGTTCGGTGTTCTCTGTCCACTTCTCAGAACAACGGCAAGTACTAAGCTGTTCCCCACAGTTCCAAGTAGGAAAATGAGAGAGAATATAACCGGAACCACCACACTGGCTGGATTGAAGAGACTGAGGTCCGATGAATTCCAGGGGACAGCAAGGCCAGCAAAGTCATCGTGGTCCGACATGAGTCCTGCTGGCAGGCCTACAAGAGAAGATATTTCTAAAGTAAGTGTTTCACCAATATAAAGATATTACTAGGCACATATGCCTTAAGCATTTGTCATCATTAGATATGTCTGTTAGAAATCTGACACCCATTATTAGCAAAATGTGTCCTACTTTTACATTTATTGTTGTTCCAATGTAAAAAGTGGATGACCTTATGGACTTTTCTTCCTGGTTGCATTATTATAGATTGGGCTTAAAGGAATTTTAAAGTGTTAGGAATACAAATCTGAGCCCTCTGGTCCCCCCAACCCTCGCAACCCCCCTCCAGGCAATGTTTTCCTATGGGGATTTTACTCATGCTGGATGTCCTCATGCAGAACGTGAGGATGTCCAGCGTCAGTTAGGCGACCTAAAGTCTGTTAACAGCCAGGAAGCACCTCTAGTGACTGTCTGATTGACAGTGACTAGAGCCAGTCTTACTCCTGCAATCTAATTATTATTTACATTGCAGAACTAAGTGGGACAGGGACACTGCATCCAGACCAGTTCAATGAGATGATGTGGCCTGGGTGGCTATAGTGTCTTTTTAATTAATAGCTTCGCCCACCCAACACTCAAATTACACATTGTGTAACAAATACGGAGAGTTCAGATACGTTTTTCTGATAAACATTTTTTGTGACTAACACTGACTGCATGAAAAATTGTTTTCATTTTCAATCAGATCTTACAGCGCAGTGTGTTTATTTTAAACGTTTGTATCGTCTGTGCTGTTAACTGAACTTTAATCACACACAGGAGGGTCATGCAGGCTTTCGATGCCCCCAACTCACTCTCTTTGCTGTTGTGAGACTTAAAGTAGCCAAATCTGGAAATATAATAATGACACAAGTTTTCTGCAACTCAATGATCTTAAACAAACATTATGGAGCATTGAAAAGAAGACCAAATCTAGGATCAAACTGAAAACAATTCTCCATCTCATATAATTTACCTTCTTGGCTGTTGTCCTAAATATGATGTTGAATTATATAGTTTCTCCGGTTTCCTGTAATCCAAGGTATTATATTTTATGTCTCTTTATGATTAACCCCTGTGTCTCTTCCCTAAGCTCGCTTTATTCTGCCTCAGCAGCATTCAGCATGAACTCTCTGTATTATCAAGCTAAGATCATATAGAGCGGTATCTGTATCAGTAGGGAGCCCAAATACGCAGGCAGAGAACGGATTTATTTCTGCTTATTATATTACATTTATTGCAATGTGTCTCCTGGCGACTGCGTTTTCATATAAACTACAAATCAGGAGCTTCTTGTCAGAAATAAAAAAAAATTAGCTTGCTGCACGCAATAACCGTGCCAAAAACAATCAACGGTAAATGGGTCGTATTCTCGGAACTCTATTGGAAAGGGTATATGCAAATCGCAGATAAAATGGAAACTCATGGAGGTCAGAGTTCTGGGTGAACTACAGACAACCCAAATCCTCTCTTACTGACGGGATTATTTACTTAAAATGTGAACAATCAGGAATTAAAACTGAATTTCCAATAAAAAAACGGACACTCAGCCTATCAAAGACGTCTAATTTTAGGCTTCTTGATTGAAGCCTTTGATATAGAGCAGATATCCAGGGCCAGACCGATGGGGTGCCTGACTGAAGAACTATTGGGGTTAAACCATTCATTAATTGTCTAACCTTTCACTTAAACCGGCGCCAGGCAACTCCTCACACCATAACAACTTAATTGTGATGAAGCTGTTATTTTGGCCAGGGTGGTCCTTCAATGTACCAATTTGATAAATATGCTAGATGGCCACAAGGAAGACAGGGGTGGAGAATATCTCTGCTGGAAGCCCAGATGTGGCAAACCTAGACACTTGGACTAAACAGAGACAATATGTTTTTAAGGGTTGCCTGTATCTTTAATACCATTGTGTATGTGCCTGGTTGTAATCTGCTGTATCCTGTATGCTGTATTGCTTGTATTGGCTATCTGCCGAAAGCAGATAGGCATGTTCTATTTCGTTTCACGAACTGCACCTTTGCGAGCTGTTCGTGAACCGAATGAACTATCTTTTAATAGCCCACGCACTAAGGGACGTCTGGCGCTTGTTAACTGATTGCAACAATGTTGCAATCGGTAATTAGAGGCTCTCCTAGGTGGCCGCCGTTCGGCTACCGACCACGCGGCGGTCGGCCATCTTGGATCCTTTGTTCCCCAGCGGTGTTTGGTCGTCGAGCGCATGGAACTGAAAAACGGCTACTCGATGGCGCGAACACCGCTGGGCTTCCAGACCATTCGGGAGCCCCAGGCCGTACTTTTAACTTGTGTTATGAATAATGTGTTTTTCGTGCGGCGTTTGGTTGTTTTAGCTGGGATCTGAGCGGTATTTTCACGAACGGTGTGCTCAGACCCCAGCTATCTACTGAACGTCCATTCGTTTAAATCTGTCAAGTATTCGAAAAGTTACATATTTTAATATAAATTGCCGGTTCTGCTGCACGGAGGGATAATCCACTTAACGGTATCCCTCTCATGCAGCAGTGCCTGATGGGAGAAATGCCCAGCATGTGAAGTCCCCCATGTATTCCCCTACTGTATTACCCCTTCTAAGGCAGTATGGAAACCCCTTGCATGGGCACTTGTATAAATACTGGAGCTGCAAATAAAGACCTCAGTTGACTCCCAGTACTGTGTTTCGTCCGGTTACTGGTGGATTTGGGATATTGCCTTGCTTTTCAGCGCTGACTATGGATAATATTAATATTGCCGGTCCGCTACACCAGATATCTTCTCTCTCTTCTTAGATATATCTGGGGGGACTTAGATATGTTTTTATTTTCTAGAAAGATATACAAAAAAATAAATGTCTTTTCAGAGTACGCGGAAGGTGGAACAAACTGTAATAATGGAGAGCAGTGGGGATGAATGGAAAGTGAAAGTCTTATGGTGCAAAGAGTCGTATAAAATACGTAGAGTTTCCAATCAGTTCTTGGGGAATTGGAGGGAAAGGCTGAGGTGGAAGTGATAGAAGAGAGTGATTATTATTTTATCAAAACTGGAGATTGTAGGTTTAAAAAAAGTCCAAACAAAAATATCCCAGAAACAGAGCCCCCAGTGGCATGTTTTTGTATTGCACACCTCAATCAATGTTTTCTTTTCCCCCTCTTCAAAGGTATAAAAGCTGAAATGATTTAAAGCAGTGAAGGAGATGAGATATCTTTAAACTGACACAAATCTTTTAGAAATATTACAGGAAGCAAGCGTTTAGAGCAGTGATGCCCAGGTCTCTCCGGACTTCATTTCCCACAATACTCATTCCCACATTTCTCGTTCCCAGATCTAACATGTTGGACAGACGGCAGCTTTCTCACAGTCACCGTGTGCTCTGAATACAGAAATACAGGTTCTTCAATAAACGCGAATTGCGCTAATTAATGCTACGCACTGCTTTCCCCCGGCAATGACTCTAACCTCTTTGGGGAGACAAAATCTAATTAAAACACAAATATCAAACATAAAGCTACACTAATATCTAATATAGCTTTGCATGTAAATGGCACGAAAAAATCAAGGGGAACTAATTTGCTGAAGTGGAGAAAAATTATATTTGGAAAGGATTATTGCCTGACAAGAGTTTGGGAATCTTTCTGCTAAAGGGGTACAATTATTTTTGTAGGATTATTTTTACTATTATTATCATTTTTTTCATTGGAATATATCTAAAAAACAACTTATAAAACTACAGATCTCTTGTTTGCTGCCTTTGCAATCCCTCCCCTTCTAACCCTGCCCAGACTTTCTGTGGCTGTCCAATCACAGACTTCCGAATGCACCTCAATGGGAAGTCTTTACAAGTCAGGTGCTCTGGGCAATTGCTGCCTCTTGAGTTTAACTTAACCAAACCAGGAAGTTAGAGGACCAGATGTGTGATTGATAGCAAGTGGTGTAACAAGGTTGATTTATAAAAGTGTCAATTTCTATTGAAATCTAGTCTTTTTGTAAAATGATTAAGAAACAGAGGACACACTCTTCACATATAAAGAATCTGAGCAAGTTAAACTGCTTTAGGTGTTTGTTTGGAGCGTGATTCCCAGAGAAACGACGGCTCGTTTGTTCTTGTGCTGTTTTCAGGGTAGCTTTGGGATCAGAATGTATTTGCTTTTGTACTGTTTATTCCGGATATTGTAAATGTATAAAGTGTACAGGTTCCATTTTATATACAAAAAAATGCAACAAATTGCATTTCTAATATTTTAAAAGCGATTTCTACATTTTTATATATAATCGTGTTGGATAAGTCACCTTGAGAATTAAAGGGAATAGAATTAAAGGGACACTCAAGGCTGGATGTGCCCCCACGTTTTAACGTGTTATATTATTAATATATTTATAGTTCATTTCTCCACTGATTTGGAGTGTTAACCCTTTCCCCTCCAGGGTGGAGAAGATTGGTCCCATTGGTTTTGGTTTCCCCCGGGAATAAATAATAGTTAATAGCGATGCCAGCTGTCACGGGGAAATCTGGCGTTAGAGGGAAACAATGCCTAAAGGACAAATAATTTCTATACGATTGAGGATTTTATTAAAGACACGGAGGCTCATATTATGCATAACTCTTTCTTTATTTCCTCAGCAGCAAAGATAGAGGAATATAAATATTATCAAATTGAAAGCAAAAAACTGTATAAGTACACAGGCAACCAATAGCATAACATAGGAAGTGGCTATATAAGGCCTGTGTCTCCCACAATCCCCCTCTTTCTTTGCTGCTTCCTCAGACAGCTAAGTACCATTATTGAGCTCTCTACTCATTGCATTTTATTGGTATTATTTGTTGTGTATTCTGGTTTTGCTTCATGCTCATTATTATTTATTGTTTATTTGCTTGTCTTTTACTCTTGTTGCCTGGATCGTTGGTGTATTTGGGGACCCCCCTGGGGCGTTTTGCCCGCTGCCGCGGGCTCTCTCTCTTCCCCTCCCTCCCGCCCCTATCTCTAACCGAGCGCTTCCCAGCGCTGCCCTCTGCCGCGGCGGTTTCTCTCGGCACCGCGGCTGAGTGTGCTCGTTTTTTCCCTTTCACAGGCTACCCGCGCGGGTAGGTGCGCGCGCGCCCCATCCCCCGCCGGGGGCCTGTACACGTGTGCACGTTTTTTCTTAGACGGCGGCCATTTTGGGTGATCGCTACGCATCGCTCAGTATCCTGCCGTGCGGTCTGTTCTCTCTGGGTCTCCCTGCTACACCAGCGATCAGGTCCTTTGTGTTGTTGCTGGGTTAATCAACCCACTTATTTAGTTTTCACCTTTATTGTTCAGTGCCGTTTTTCTAGTGTCTCTGCCATTATGCAGGATAGGGAGGATGGGCCTACTGATCCCTCTGGGGATTTTCCTAATGTTAACCCTGAGGGTGCTATGGCATCTCAGGAGTTTCAAGCCTTATTAGAGGCCACTATGGCTTCCTCCCTTCAGAAGGCTATTGCCTCAGCTATGGGGGCTGTCTCCTCCTCCTTTACCCAGTCTCTGCAATCTGGGTTTTTGCCTTCCACGGCTACCCCTGCCCCCCTGGGTGTGGGGTCCCCTTCTCCTGCCCATACTGTGCCGGGTGCCCGTAAGGCGAAGGATAAATCTCGTCATATCGGTTCCCACTCCTCGATGCAGGTTTTGCCTGCCATGAATGACTCGCCTCTGGCGGTCACAGATAGCGCGCATCCCACGCGCACAAGAGCCCCTGGCCGGGCTAAAAAGGCTAGATTGTGGAAACGGGCTAGAGCCCTGGATGATGAGTCGGATTCCGACCGGAGTGTGGAAAATGAATCCGATTTTATGGAGTACGACTCCTTTGTTGATGACGAGTCGGGAGAGGACATACCCCCTACGGGGGCTCCCCCTTCTAGGTCCTCTGCCAACCCCCGAGGTAAGGTCACTGGCCCCGCTGGGGACAATAAAGCCCTGCTAGACCCACAGGGTAACCCCATGTTTGACCCGGACGACCTCCGTCACCCGCGGTCTGCCGAATGGGTCCCTCCGGACCACATCGCCCAATATGTGGCTAAGCGAATTCGCACGCCCCTATCCAAAGAAGGCCGCAATAAGCTGCGCGCCGAGTGCCCACGGCCTTCTCTCCCTGGCGCTGCCTGCAAGACCCCAGAAATCGACCCACAAATCGCCCAATTTTTAAATAAATCTGGCTGGAAACCTAAGAAGGGTCTTGATCATTCCCTGAAGGGATGCCAGGATAGGATCCTGGATACGCTGGGCCCCCTGTCGAAGCTGTACGAGCTTCTTGATGCCGCTAGATCAGGGGAATCTGTTTTGGATGTGGATGTGGCCATCGGGTGGGTCCAAGGGCTATATGCCTTCTGGGTAACGCCAACACGGCGGTGTCCTCCGAGAGGCGCAAGGCCATTCTACTAAAAATTGACCCTAAATTGGCCGCTATGTCTGTGGCGGAGCCTGATTCGGCTGATGAAGGTCTGTTGTTTGGCACATCCTTCGTGAAGGACATGGGGTCATATGTCAAGACCTTTACGGCTATTGACAAGGCGCAGGCAAATATGAAGCGCGTCTTCGCGCCCAAGGTTTTCGGAGGGGCCGGGCGTAGCAGGAACCGTCCTCCCGGCCGTGGTTTCCGAGGCTCGTTCCGTGCCTCCAGAGGTTCCTTTTTTCCTTCCAGAGGGTTCCAGGACCCGAAAACTCCTTCCTTCTTCCCGGCAAGGGGGAGATCGTGGGGCTCCAGATACCCCCGTGGTGGAACTTCGGGCAGACGCCCTTATGGTGAGTACCCTTTCTTCCCCTCTCGATCAGGTTCGGGTGGCGGGGAGGCTGGCCTTATTCTACCTAAGGTGGGCAGATATAACTGCGGATGCTTGGGTTTTGCAATGCGTAAAGGGTTATCGCCTAGAGTTTGTTTCCCTGCCTGTTCAAATTTCTGTTCCCAGGGAGTTGTCTCTCCCACCGGAACAGGACGCGATGATCTCCGCGGAGGTCGAGGAGATGTTTTCAAAGGGTGCCATAGAAGAATTGCCGTTCGCCACCCCAGGCTTTACGAGCAATCTCTTCTTAGTACCCAAGAAAGGGGGCGGTGTCCGCCCGGTTATAAATCTTCGCCCTCTCAACGCGTTCCTGCGCTACCAACACTTTCAGATGGAGGGCATCCATTGTCTCAGGGATCTGCTGCGGCAGTCAGATTGGATGGCCAAATTGGACCTGAAGGACGCGTACTTCACGGTTCCAATAGCGGTGGAATCCAGGGACTACCTGCATTTCACCTGGCACGGACGGCGTTGGCGTTTTACATGCCTGCCGTTCGGTCTCTCCTCGGCCCCTTGGTGTTTCACCAAGGTGATGAAGCCGGTGGTGGCGTACCTCCGTACCAGAGGGGTTCGCCTCATTTACCTGGACGACATTTTAATTATGTCCCAATCGAAAGAATGCCTGGAGTTGCATCTGAGCTGGACTATCAACCTTTTGCAGAATCTAGGTTTTCTAATCAACTGGGACAAGTCGGTCATGACCCCCGCCCAGTCGATGGAGTTTTTGGGGTTTCAGGTGGATTCCATACGGCAATTCCTCTACTTGCCGGAATCAAAGATGAAGGCCATTCAGAAAGAGCTCCGGCGAGCTCTCCGGGCCTCAGATCTCTCGATACGTCAGTTGGCGAGGATCATCGGCCTACTGGCATCCTCCATTCAAGCGATATTCCCTGGCCCGTTGCATTATCGAGCCCTGCAGCGGCTCAAGGGGTCACACCTTCGTTCGGGCCACTCTTACGAATCACGGATTCGTTTGGACGAGGAATCCAGGGAGGAGATAGCCTGGTGGCTAGCCCACATGGAGGCCTGGAATGGAAGGGCAATTTTCGGTTCCCTTCCGGACGTAGTCATAGAATCGGACGCCAGCTTATACGGCTGGGGCGCTCGTTGTGGCAACGCCTCCACGGGAGGCAGATGGTCCGACGCAGAGAAGTCGTTACACATCAATTGCCTGGAGCTCCTGGCAGGAGCCTTTGCAATCCGCAGCCTTACCCCGGGACGGGCAAACTGTTGCGTTCTCCTCAAGCTGGACAACGTATCAGCGGTCCGATACATCAATCACCTGGGTGGCACCAAATCCAAGATGTTGGCTCTTCTGGCGAAAGAGTTTTGGCAATTCTGCCTTTACAACAACGTCTCTGTGACGGCGGAGCATATTCCGGGTCTGGACAATTCGAGTGCGGATTGGAATTCCAGACATTTAAGGGACTCGGGAGACTGGCGCTTGCACGGCTCAGTCTTCCGAGGCCTAGAAGGTCTATGGGGTCGTTTCGAGATGGACCTGTTCGCCTCTCGGCTGAACGCTCAGGTACCGAGATTCTACAGTTGGAGGCCAGATCCGGCGGCAGTGGCGACGGATGCCTTTCTTCAAGAATGGCCCCCGGGTCGCCTCTATGCCTTTCCTCCGTTCAACATGATTGCTCGCACACTCTCCAAAATGGTTCACCACGACTGTTGTCTGGTTCTGATCACTCCCCTGTGGAGATCCCGTCCGTGGTTCCCTCGACTGATGGAGTTGTCGATAGACTTCCCACGGTTGTTGCCGAACTTCCCGGATCTCCTTCTGGATCCGGATGGGAACTCGCACGAACTGGTGATGCGACACCAGTTGCCCCTGGTGGCTTGGTTCCTTTCAGGGGACGCTGGATTGTCCCTGACGTTCCACAGACAACTCTCTTGCTCCTCGAAAACGCGTGGGCCCCGGGCACACGATCAGCTTATCGGGCAGCATGGAAGTCTTGGTCGGGTTGGTGCATGGAACGGGCAATGGATCCCGTATCTGCCTCTCTCCATTTGATCCTGGAATTTCTCACGTTCCTGTTCGATTCGGGCAAGGCGTACAGGACTATCAATCTTTTTCGCTCGGCCATTTCTGCCGGACACGATGGTTTGGAAGGCACACCTGTCGGTAGGCATCCTTTTGTATGTCGCCTTCTTAGAGGTATTCGCCTCGCCCGTCCACCCCGGTCGCGTTTTTCGGCCTTTTGGGACGTCAACATAATGTTGCAGTTCCTATCGGCTTGGTACCCTAACCAAGCATTGACTCTCAAACAGCTGTCATCCAAACTGGTTATGCTGCTTTGTCTTATCTCTTGTAAGAGAGTCTCCGATGTCAGGGCCCTGGATTGGGGTGCCATCGTTTTTACTCCTGAGGGTGTTACTTTCAACATCTCTAGGAGGACTAAGTCGGCATCCAAATCCTTCGTGTACCCTAGGTTCTCAGGGTGCCCAGCACTCTGTCCGGTGGATTGTCTTAGGGCTTATCTGGATGCTACAAGAACGTTTCGTTCTTCTGATCGTCATCCCCTATTCATTTCCTTTAAGGCACCTCATCAACCGGTGTCGACTCCGACGCTAGCGCGTTGGATTCGTTGGCTTTTATCCCTAGCGGGTATAGACACTTCTACCTTTATGCCTCACTCCGTGAGGGGTGCCATGGCCTCGAAGGCATCTTTAGTGGGTTGCCGTCTGGAGGACATCATGCGAGCTGCAGACTGGTCTCGTGAGTCCACCTTCCGAGACTTCTATTTCAGACCAATTGAACACATCGCATCTCAGATAGTAGCACAGCTTTGAACTTGCATAATATGAGCCTCCGTGTCTTTAATAAAATTCCTAGATTTTACTAGTATCATGACGTAAAGTCATGATTTTATTAAAGACACGGAGGCGAGTATTATTCCCTCCCACCCTCCCGGTGGGGGGGTTTGCGAGGGAGATGCGCTTTTTTTGGATTTTTCCAGGTATGTTACATTTTGGTCCTCTTATTTGTCTTGACTTTCGTTTGAAGCATATAACTGCTTGATGTCAATCATATGTTGTAATTTCAGATTTCGTTTCAGTTTCATGAATGACCAACAGTTCTGACTGGTAAGCAACAGTTTGGGTTTAGTTATTACCATATTTCTCTCTCTCTTTTAGCTTGAAGTTGTTGAAGCGCTTCCGTTCCTGTTTCTGACCATGTGGGATATCGTTTCGTCTTAGCTGGTCCTCGGTTTTCGCAAGAAAGAGGAGGATTGTGGGAGACACAGGCCTTATATAGCCACTTCCTATGTTATGCTATTGGTTGCCTGTGTACTTATACAGTTTTTTGCTTTCAATTTGATAATATTTATATTCCTCTATCTTTGCTGCTGAGGAAATAAAGAAAGAGTTATGCATAATACTCGCCTCCGTGTCTTTAATAAAATCATGACTTTACGTCATGATACTAGTAAAATCTAGGAATTCTGCAATATATTCCTACGTACATACATAGAGAGATAAAATATATATAAAGAATGTGCATGCTTTGTTTAGAGGGCTTTCTTTTTGCATCTGAGCAGATCGTGAGTAGGATGATACAGAATTCTAGAGACACTCTATGCACTCACACTCACTGTGTCACACTATGCACTAACACTCACACTAAACACACTGTACCCTTACACTCACACTAAACACACTGTACCCTTACACTCACACTAAACACACTGTACTCTTACACTCACACTAAACATACTGTATTCTTACACTCACACTAAATACACTGTACTCTTACACTCACACTAAACACACTGTACTCTTACACTCACACTAAATACACTGTATTCTTACACTCACACTAAACACACTGTATTCTTACACTCACACTAAACACACTGTACTCTTACACTCACACTAAACACACTGTACCCTTACACTCACACTAAACACACTGTACTCTTACACTCACACTAAACATACTGTATTCTTACACTCACACTAAATACACTGTATTCTTACACTCACACTAAATACACTGTACTCTTACACTCACACTAAACACACTGTACACTTACACTCATATTAAACACACTGTACTCTTACACTCACACTAAAAACACTGTATTCTTACACTCACACTAAACACACTGTACTCTTACACTCACACTAAACACACTGTATTCTTACACTCACACAAAACACACTGTACTCTTACACTCACACTAAACACACTGTATTCTTACACTCACACTAAACACACTGTATTCTTACACTCACACCAAACACACTGTACTCTTACACTCACACTAAACACACTGTATTCTTACACTCACACTAAATACACTGTATTCTTACACTCACACTAAACACACTGTACTCTTACACTCACAATAAACACACTGTATTCTTACACTCACACTAAACATACTGTACTCTTACACTCACAATAAACACACTGTATTCTTACACTCACACCAAACACACTGTACTCTTACACTCACACTAAACACACTGTATTCTTACACTCACACTAAACACACTGTACTCTTACACTCACACTAAACACACTATATTCTTACACTCACACTAAACACACTGTACTCTTACACTCACACTAAACACACTGTATTCTTACACTCACACTAAACACACTGTACTCTTACACTCACAATAAACACACTGTATTCTTACACTCACAGTAAACACACTGTTCTCTTACACTCACACCAAACACACTGCACTCTTACACTCACACTAAACACACTGTACTCTTACACTCACACTAAACACACTGTACTTTTACACTCACACTAAACACACTGTACTCTTACACTCACACTAAATACACTGTATTCTTACACTCATACTAAACACACTGCTCCCTTACACTCACACTAAACACACTGTATTCTTACACTCACACTAAACACACTGTATTCTTACACTCATACTAAACACACTGCTCCCTTACACTCACACTAAACACACTGTATTCTTACACTCACACTAAACACACTGTATTCTTACACTCACATTAAACACACTGCACTCTTACACTCACACTAAACACACTGTTCTCTTACACTCACACCAAACACACTGCACTCTTACACTCACACCAAACACACTGCACTCTTACACTCACACTAAACACACTGTACTCTTACACTCACAATAAACACACTGTATTCTTACACTCACAATAAACACACTGTATTTTTACACTCACACTAAACATACTGTACTCTTACACTCACACTAAACACACTGTATTCTTACACTCACACTAAATACACTGTATTCTTACACTCACAGTAAACACACTGCACCCTTACACTCACACTAAACACACTGTATTCTTACACTCACACTAAACACACTGTATTCTTACACTCACACTAAACACACTGTATTCTTACACTCACACTAAACACACTGTACTCTTACACTCACACTAAATACACTGTATTCTTACACTCACACTAAACACACTGTATTCTTACACTCACACCAAACACACTGTACTCTTACACTCACACTAAACACACTGTATTCTTACACTCACACTAAACACACTGTTCTCTTACACTCACAATAAACACACTGTATTGTTACACTCACATTAAACACACTGTACTTTTACACTCACACTAAACACACTAAACACACTGTACTCCTACACTCACACTAAACACACTTTATTCTTACACTCACACTAAAGACACTGTACTCCTACACTCACACTAAAGACACTGTACTCCTACACTCACACTAAATAATGTGTTTCATTTAGTGGCCAGGAAGCCCTGTAAATGAAAATTATGCAAAATTGATGATCTGTCTGTCTCTATCTATATTCAGGTAAGTAGCTTTTAGATCATTTTTCTATTATCCTTTTTTTCCTGGAGATACTAACATCACCCACAAACCCTCTATCCTCTGCCCTCCACCCCAAAATATCCCTAAATGCACTTAATATGCCTCCAATTCTCCTCTACCTCCCCCTCTGTCCATAAACCTCCTCCACACCTGATACTGAGCATGATGGGTAATGCAGTTTACAAACATCTGGAGTGCTGGGTTAAGCTATCACTGCTCTTATCACCCTGTGTGGGATTATTAATCTGGGAGGAAGGTACTCAGTGTTATGTATCCAATGACACTCACACTATAGAGAAAGTGTGATCTACCCTGACTGCTTTTCTCATGGCACTCAGTTAACGTGCCCAGATATTTTATCCCTTTTTGGTTTTTTTTAACAAAATTAGAAATTACTTTAATTTTGATTTTCTTTTGTTTAACCCCTTAAGGACCAAGCTTCTGGAATAAAATGGAATCATGACATGTCAGACATGTCATGTGTCCTTAAGGGGTTAATCTTGGATCAACTGTAGGAACAGAGATGTGTGAAAGTTTGATCGGATCGATTTGGGTCCCTATTTTAGCCTAAATTTCTGTAATACTATGTCATCGTCTCAGTCCTAGAGGTATTTCAACTCTTTATCTCCTTAGTGTTCGTGTCCTAGAGGTGTTCTTAACTCAGTTGACTCCCAAGGCATCGATGTATCATAGTATCTCTTTCTGAGAGTTCTAGAACCCATGGTCTCAAGATATACTTACCCCCCACTCCCCTGGTACCTGTTCATGTACTCACCCATCCACTGAGCTGTCAGTCCTGGGGTGCCCTAACCATGTGTGCCAGGACGTTGGGATGATATTAAGTTCTCCTCTCTCTGTTTGATTCCCACCAGGAGCAGAGCAGGTTAATTCTGGCTCAGGAAGCACACACAGAGCCGGCACAGCACGCAGAGCACATCCCTGCTCAGTATACGGTCCACAACACAAATCCCAGCTCGCAGACTCTGGCTCTGCCAATCGCTCGAACCTTGTACTATGTATGTGTGCTCCGCCTCTCCCTGCCAGGCAGATATAAATACAACCCATCACACAACATCTGGGGGAGAGAGGGGGAGCACAGCCCATCATACAACATCTGGGGGAGAGAGGGGGAGCACAGCCCATCATACAACATCTGGGAGGAGAGGGGGAGCAAAGTCCATCATACAACATCTGGGGGAGAGAGGGAGCACAGCCCATCATACAACATCTGGGGAAAGAGAGGGAGCACAGCCCATCATACAACATCTGGGAGGAGAGGGGGAGCACAGCCCATCATACAACATCTGGGGGAGAGAGGGAGCACAGTCCATCATACAACATCTGGGAGGAGAGGAGGAGCACAGCCCATCATACAACATCTGGGGGAGAGGGTGGAGCACAGCCCATCATACAACATCTGGGGGAGGGGGGAGCACAGCCCATCACAAACCATCTGGGGGGGACAGGGGGCCCCAGCCCATCACACAACATCTGGGGGAGAGGGGGAGCACAGTCCATCATACAACATCTAGGGAGAGAGGGGGAGCACAGCCCATCACACAACACCTGGGAGGAGAGGGGGAGCACAGTCCATCATACAACATCTGGGAGGAGAGGGGGAGCACAGCTCATCATACAACATCTGGGAGGAGAGGGGGAGCACAGCCCATCATACAACATCTGGGGGGAGAGGGAGAGCACATCCCATCATACAACATCTGGGGGAGAGGGGGAAAATATCCCTAAATGCACTTAATACGCCTCCAATTCTCCTCTACCTTCCCCCTTGTCCATAAACCTCCTCCACACCTGATACTGAGCATGATGGGTAATGTAGTTTACAAACATCTGGAGTGCTGGGTTAAGCTATCACTGCTCTTATCGCCCTGTGTGGGATTATTAATCTGGGAGGAAGGTACTCAGTGTTATGTATCCAATGACACTCACACTATAGAGAAAGTGTGATTTACCCTGACTACTTTTCTCATGGCACTCAGTTAACGTGCCCAGATGTTTTATCCCTTTTTGGGTTTTTTTAACAAAATTAGAAATTACTTTAATTTTGATTTTCTTTTGTTTAATCTTGGATCAACTGTAGGAACAGAGATGTGTGAAAGTTTGATCGGATCGATTTGGGTCCCTATTTTAGCCTAAATTTCTGTAATACTATGTCATCGTCTCAGTCCTAGAGGTATTTCAACTCTTTATCTCCTTAGTGTTCGTGTCCTAGAGGTGTTCTTAACTCAGTTGACTCCCAAGGCATCGATGTATCATAGTATCTCTTTCTGAGAGTTCTAGAACCCATGGTCTCAAGATATACTTACCCCCCACTCCCCTGGTACCTGTCCATGTACTCACCCATCCACTGAGCTGTCAGTCCTGGGGTGCCCTAACCATGTGTGCCAGGACGTTGGGATGATATTAAGTTCTCCTCTCTCTGTTTGATTCCCACCAGGAGCAGAGCAGGTTAATCCTGGCTCAGGAAGCACACACAGAGCCGGCACAGCACGCAGAGCACATCCCTGCTCAGTATACGGTCCACAACACAAATCCCAGCTCGCAGACTCTGGCTCTGCCAATCGCTCGAACCTTGTACTATGTATGTGTGCTCCGCCTCTCCCTGCCAGGCAGATATAAATACAACCCATCACACAACATCTGGGGGAGAGAGGGGGAGCACAGCCCATCATACAACATCTGGGGGAGAGAGGGGGAGCACAGCCCATCATACAACATCTGGGAGGAGAGGGGGAGCAAAGTCCATCATACAACATCTGGGGGAGAGAGGGAGCACAGCCCATCATACAACATCTGGGGAAAGAGAGGGAGCACAGCCCATCATACAACATCTGGGAGGAGAGGGGGAGCACAGCCCATCATACAACATCTGGGGGAGAGAGGGAGCACAGTCCATCATACAACATCTGGGAGGAGAGGGGAGCACAGCCCATCATACAACATCTGGGGGAGAGGGGGAGCACAGCCCAATCACACAACATCCGGGGGAGAGGGAGCACAGTCATACAACATCACACAATCATACAACATCTGGGGAGAGAGCACCCATCATACACAGCCCAGGGAGGAGGGGGAGCACAGTCCATCACAAACATCTGGGAGGAGAGGGGGAGCACAGCCCATCATACAACATCTGGGAGGAGAGGGGGAGCACAGCCCATCATACACACCCATCATACAACATCTGGGGAGAGGGGAGCACAGCCCACCATACAACATCTGGGAGGAGAGGGAGCACAGCCCATCATCCTGGGGGAGACAGCCCACCATACAACATCTGGGGGAGAGAGGGGGAGCACAGCCCATCATACAACATCTGGGAGGAGAGGGGGAGCACAGCCCATCATACAACATCTAGGGAGAGAGGGGGAGCACAGCCCATCATACAACATCTGGGAGGAGAGGGGGATCACAGCCCATCACAAAACATCTGGGGGAGAGAGGGGGAGCACAGCCCATCATACAACATCTGGGGGAGAGAGGGGGAGCACAGCCCATCATACAACATCTGGGGAAAGAGAGGGAGCACAGCCCATCATACAACATCTGGGAGGAGAGGGGGAGCACAGCCCATCATACAACATCTGGGGGAGAGAGGGAGCACAGTCCATCATACAACATCTGGGAGGAGAGGGGGAGCAACAGCCCATCATACAACATCTGGGGAGAGGGGAGCACAGCCCATCATACATCATCTGGGGGAGGGGGGGCCCCAGCCCATCACACAACATCTGGGGGAGGGGGGGAGCACAGTACATCATACAACATCTGGGGAGAGAGGGAGCACAGTCCATCATACAACATCTGGGAGGAGAGGGGGAGCACAGTGAATCATACAACATCTGGGGGAGAGGGGGAGCACAGTCCATCATACAACATCTGGGGAGAGAGGGGGATCACAGCCCATCACAAAACATCTGGGGATGGGGGAGCACAGCCCATCATACAACATCTGGGGAAAGAGAGGGAGCACAGCCCATCATACAACATCTGGGAGGAGAGGGTGGAGCACAGCCCATCATACAACATCTGGGGAGGGGGGAGCACAGCCCATCACAAACCATCTGGGGGGGACAGGGGGCCCCAGCCCATCACACAACATCTGGGGGAGAGGGGGAGCACAGTACATCATACAACATCTGGGGGAGGAAGGGGGAGCACAGTCCATCATACAACATCTGGGAGGAGAGGGGGAGCACAGCTCATCATACAACATCTGGGAGGAGAGGAGGCACAGCTCATCGCCCACAACATCTAGGAGGAGAGGAAACACATCCCATCGCTTGCAACATCTAGAGAAGAGAGAGCACAGCCCATCGCCACAACATCTGGGAGGAGAGGCACAGCCCATCATACAACATCTGGGGGAGAGAGGGGAGCACAGCCCATCATACATCTAGGGGGGAGAGAGGGAGCACAGCCCATCATACAACATCTGGGGAGAGAGGGGGAGCACAGCCCATCATACAACATCTGGGAGGAGAGGGGGATCACAGCCCATCACAAAACATCTGGGGGAGAGAGGGGGAGCACAGCCCATCATACAACATCTGGGGGAGAGAGGGGGAGCACAGCCCATCATACAACATCTGGGGAAAGAGAGGGAGCACAGCCCATCATACAACATCTGGGAGGAGAGGGGGAGCACAGCCCATCATACAACATCTGGGGGAGAGAGGGAGCACAGTCCCCATCATACAACATCTGGGGGAGGGGGGAGCACAGCCCATCACAAACCATCTGGGGGGGACAGGGGGCCCCAGCCCATCACACAACATCTGGGGGAGAGGGGGAGCACAGTACATCATACAACATCTGGGGAGAGAGGGAGCACAGTCCATCATACAACATCTGGGAGGAGAGGGGGGGAGCACAGGAATCATGGCCAACATCTGGGGAGAGGGGGAGCACAACCATCATACAACATCTGGGAGAGAGGGGGGAGCACGGCCCATCATACAACATCTGGGAGAGGGGACAGCCCATCACAAAACATCTGGGATGGGGAGCACAGTCCATCATACAACATCTGGGGAGAGAGGGGGATCACAGCCCATCACAAAACATCGGGGGATGGGGGAGCACAGCCCATCATACAACATCTGGGGAAAGAGAGGGAGCACAGCCCATCATACAACATCTGGGAGGAGAGGGTGGAGCACAGCCCATCATACAACATCTGGGGGAGGGGGGAGCACAGCCCATCACAAACCATCTGGGGGGGACAGGGGGCCCCAGCCCATCATACAACATCTGGGGGAGGAAGGGGGAGCACAGTCCATCATACAACATCTGGGGGAGGAAGGGGGAGCACAGCCCATCATACATCTAGGGGGGAGAGAGGGAGCACAGCCCATCATACAACATCTGGGGAGAGAGGGGAAGCACAGCCCATCATACATCTAGGGGGGAGAGAGGAAGCACAGCCCATCACACAACATCTGGGAGGACAGGGGGGGCACAGCCCATCATACAACATCTGGAGGAAGAGAGGGGGAGCACAGCCCATCATACAAAATCTGGGGAGAGAGGGTAAATGCAGACAGCCCCCCTGTGCGGACAGCTTTGTGTTCTGATTTGGAAGATTTATTTCCTGTACCTGGCTACTAAGTCAGATCTCATACAATGCTATATCTGTCCACACTGGAACTGGTGCATTCTTTTCCCAGCTTTTTAGATAGAATGGAATTGACATGGAGATAAAGAACAGAGCAGATTTAAATAAAGATGTAACATGGGTGGAATCAAATCACAGGCAGCAATTGTGAGTTCAGAGATTGGGGGAAACAAGACGGGGGCAGGACAAGGTGGTGGAGGTACATTTACATTGGTCGGAATCTCCCGGCCACCTTGGGAAGTGCTGACACAACAGATACGTAAAAACTGAGAGAAGTGGAGATAGCAGAAAAAGTAAAGAAAGAATGACTGAACTGTTTCAGTTCCAAACAGACTGTTATAGAAATTATTCCCTAAATGGGGTATTATTACGTAGAAATAACCAGGAGTTTGCACATTTTAGACCAAATTATCTGAGTCTGGAAAAACTGTTGAATTAAGAGAATGTTTGCAATCTGAAGATTTGGGTCTGAATTGTATAATCTCCTGGTCGGTTCTCTACAAACTGCAGTTTAGTGAATAAATCCCTATTTGTTGCCTTGAAATGGTTGGAAGAGGCGAGACGTGATGATGGGATTAAATCGCTATCGAGAGGAGTATAGGCTCTTGTTTATTTACGTGGAGACTGAGATTGGGACGCTTTGCCAGTGCACGAAGCGAGGCGTTTATTAGAGCGTATTTACTATCATTATCGAAACAGTATTTATTTCCCAATATAGAAGGTCAGTGCCTCTTACACTGGTTTGGTGGGAGGTTAAAATGTCAGGGGAAGCAGTTACAGAGTTATCAGGACGCTGAGAAAGAGACACAAGAGGAGCGGGGAATTGGAAAGCAGAACAAATTAAATCTCAGTATACGAAAGAACGGTTACGGCAAATGATCGCATTGTCACCAAAATTAACACTTTCACTGCCAGCTAGTCCTTAGTCATTGGGTGAGATCTCAAAATCTTTCCCATTACATCATGACATTCATGGCATACTATTGCTCAGTAAGGGTTAAATAGCAAGTTACTGGTAACACTCTTTGTGTTACTTTTTATCTGCGGAGAGTGGGTCGCTGACTTTATAAAAAGAGCTCAGAGAATTATTTGAAATCTAATGGTTTCAAGAAGAGCAAGATTTGAATGCATTTCCATCATTTTGGCTAGTAAGAGGTTAATGGCTTCTCTGCAAATTATGAAGAGGGGGGAATCACAGAGCAGAGAGAAAAGACAGATTAAGGGAAAGGAGCTGGGGGTTAGGTGGGGTGGACAGGGAGAGATGAGACAGATGACTGGAAAAGCCATCAAATGATGGTAGTGCAGGATACGAGGCGAGGAGCTGCTGGATGGGTGATCCGTGAATAAGGAATCAGAGACGGGTTGTCACATCCTGAGCTCACAAACAGGCGCTATTGGAATACAGAGTCAATGAATAGAATGGCAGGTTTTGTGCGAGAGTCACATTGTCCTCTGAACGAACTGATTTTTTATAATCAAGTGGCACATTATATCCCTATAAATCCCCACTAAGACCTAACACTTTGATGACTGGATAGGCGAGGAGCACAAATTAAAATTCATTCCTGAGTACAGGTTTCATGTGAGACTCTTCCTGTAATGATTGGTTGATTGATTAATTGGTTTCACACTTTGCATTTGTGTCATATGAATTTTGAATACTCCAACTTCGGGAGGTCTGAAAGTGGGACAGTGAAGAGTGAGACTGGAGGGGACGATGCATGCGCACATTATGCTCTCCTACTGCTAAGACAATGGCGCAGCAAGTATCGTCTTTAAAGGACCACTCCACACCCATAAAGTACCTTAGCTTGCGTATTGCAAAATAATGACAGTTTATAAAAGTTCCAACTTCTATTAGAAATCGTCACTTTTATAAATAATTCATAAAATTCATGTTCCTCAAACCATTACTGAACAATTTTTGCAGTGTGGCAGAATGCATTATCCTGCTGAAAGAGGCCACTGCCATCAGTGAGCACTATTGCCATGAAGTGGTGTACATGGTCTGCAACAATTTCTAGGCAGGTGGAATGTGTCATAGGAACATCCACATGAATGTTCGGACCCAAGGTTTCCCAGCAAAAATGTTGGCAATGATAGACAATAGGCCACTGCCATCAGGGAGCACCATTGCCATGAATGGGTGTACATGGTCTGCAACAATCTCTAGATAGGTGGAATGTGTCATAGGAACAATCTCTAGATAGGTGGAATGTGTCATATTAACATCCACATGAATGTTCGGACCCAAATGTTGGCCTCTTGTCTATCATGGTCAACATTTTCAGCAATTGGAACTACAGTAGCTCTTTTGTTTGATCGGACCAGACGGGCTAGCCTGGGCTCCCAATGTGCATCAATGAGGCCTGGTCACCTATGACTGGGATGCCGGTTCCCTGGTTGTCCTTTCTTGCACCACATTTGGTAGGTACTAACCACTGTATACTGGGAACACTCCACAAGATATGCCATTGTGGAGCTGCTGTGATCCAGTTGACTAACCATCACTATCTGGCCCTTGTCAAAGGCACTCAGATCTTTTCACTTGCCTATTTTCCCGCTTCCAACACATGAAATTCCAGAACTGGCTGTTCACTTGCTGCTTAATATATCCCACCCATTGACAGGTGCCATTATAAAAATATATTCACCTGTCAGTGGGTCCCTTTAAGTGTGAATTTCACTTTGAATTCTCATTTTAGTAAGTAGCCCTGCTAGTGATTATTGGCAATTAGAGGCGATTTGATAGTTAATTTTTTTCAAGGTGTCACTGTCTGTCAGCTCACTTACACAGCTCGCAGGCAGCACGTCTGTAGACATTTCCAGGAATGTGCTCTCCAGATGGCGAAGTCCTCAGTGATTTCCGCACATTTTACCTGTCACACTCTGCACACATTGTATTATGTTACTACAACATGTGGCCTGTCACTTTAATACCAAGTATGACTGTCAGTGGGAACTGCTGGGGAAACAATGGCATCAAGGACTCTACTTTGACACCATATACCGCTAACAGTTGGTTTAAAAGGATGTTGCAGTTCGGAATATGCCAGAGATTAGTCAGTGATGCAAATTTAAAAGCTACAAGCAAAAACAATGTCTTGTAATGTATCTGAATACCTCTTATTATGAGAAAAAGTATTTATCACACCTAGAAATGTACTGAGATATCAGCTCCCCGAGGTGTGTTGGTCTAAAACACTGCTCCTCCAAACAAACAGCATTAAACTGTGATCTTTTCACTTTAAATAGGCATGCTCCTATAAAGAATGTATTATGAAGAGATATCCTGTCTAATTATGTATCTCACAGGCATTTGGAAGAATGGCACTCAGACTCTTATTTATTTTATTAAATGTAACTGTAAAACCTAGTGAGTGCAAGATGAGAGTGATGTTGTATGGAAGCATTTAAAGGGTCCCTCTAAGCACCATCACATGATTGCAAAGGGCGATGGAGATGGTTTGGCATGTGATCATGAGGACTGAGCTAATCTGATGCATCACCAGTGAGGACCGTGAAGGGGGCAGGTTCCATAGGTTCCTGTTAAAATCTCGGTTTTGCAAAGAATTAGCTTATGTTCTCTGAGTCTGATGTCAATAAAATGAGAAATACGAATAATTTATAATTCTATTAAATGTTATTTTAGTTAAAAAACTGTAAAAAAACAGGTTAGCAGCAAACGCGTTGGTTTAGATGAATCATTAGAATGAATAAATGTGCTTTTAAAAGTGCTGGATGTGCTCTGAAAAGCAATTATGACAGCAATAAAAAAAAACAGGAAAAAAAAACTTTATTAAAATAATTGCATTGCATTTTTAGAATATGCATTTTACATAAAGAACATTGTTTAATCTTTTCAGTGCCTGACGCAGGGGGATAACATTTTATTTCGCAATGTGTTCCTCTGCCATTGCTCACTATAAGCAGATCTGTTACTACTAAGTTTTAGATAGAGGGCTTTTATTCAGTAAACGGCATCCTGTAACGAATACAAAAATTAATTGCGAATCATTAGCCTAAAACAACCAATCTATACCTAAAGTGTGATTGGAGAATGTTTCCATTCCATGATATGGCATTTTGCTGAACAACCGATCGGCCTATGTTCAGATGAATTGCAATTTGTCTGAACCCGAATACACAAGTCTGTAAATTTTCCTGTAAGGTTTTTAATTTACTTATAATTCACTGACTAATGCACACGATCTGTCTGAAAAACTCTGATATAAATGTTTCAAACTATAACACAATCAAAAGGTAATGTAATGTAAAGCAAGGACTATTTTGTCTTCTGCATGCCTGGAATTATTGCAAAATATGGCACAAGGCAGAACGATCATTGTTTCCATTGCAGTGCCTTGATGTTTTCCGACTCGATTGCCGGCTAATGAAGAAAGACACATTCTCGCACAATGCAGACTTTATACCTATCAGTTTCCTCAAGGCGATAGTGTCCATCTGCTCCTACCTCTAGCTCCCATCCTAAACCAGCTGTGTCAAACTTGCCCACTCACATTTTGGATCCCAACTTCCATTTAAAACAAGCAGTGTCAATTTCACCTAGGCTTACTAGGTTTATCTACGGTTGGTAGAGACATATTGGATTTGTTGTACAACTAAATCTAGGGGCTCCAAATCCTTCATTAGTTAATAAGTGGATGGTGTTAAT